TGCTCTCTCTGTCTGCAGAGGCAAATCTTTCAGTTTTCCGTGACATAAGGTAGGTCATCGGGTGTCTGCTTAAGAAAATCTACTGGGACCTGATACCGCCTGGCAGAGATTGAAGCAGGATTGCTTTTTCTGTTCTCACTTTATCCTAACTCTGAACTAATCAATGCTCAGAAGCATAGTGTTCATTGATAATCAAGCTGTTACCCATTTGAACAAAAGTAATTAAAAATTGCCTTGCAATGAATGAATTTGTGTCTCAGCTAATTAAAAGGATCATTTGAATTAAACTGGAGACTGCTTTGGCTTGTTGGATGTTTTTGAATATTATAATTATAGGTTTTGAGGCCATATAGTAGCGTTTATTCTATTCCTACAGACAACAAATAGAAGCATGTAGTTTGCAATTTTGATCATCTTTCACTTTAGTGGTTTGATTTACTCTCATGAGAAAAAGTTTGACACGATCACTGTTTTTGTCTCTCACAGATGTAAATTGATTCATTTTGACTCAAGGCTACAGATAATGTGAATTAGATTTTGGAGCATTCGTCTTTAGATGTCATTTGAAGCTGGAGTTGGAGCAGTCCCATCACATAAAAAATGTTTAAAAAAAACCTAAACAAATGCAGTGGTTGAAAAAAAAAAATACCCCCCAAGAGCCAAAAACCTCTGGAGACCTCACTGTATACTCTAAATTTACTTTTAAGGGAATCATAATGTATTTTGCATATATTCCTTTTGTTTTCTTTATAGTGCAGTAAAAATCAGGTAAGGGTAGCATTACCAATGTTTACTGTGATTCCACAAACATTATGTAGGTAGCAGGTAATGGATAATAACTGGACACAAGTAACTTGAGCTTAATATTATAATATAACATTTCTAACTAGGTAGACAGCTCGTTCTCTTTCTCTTGACAATGCTTTCTTTAAAAATATAACATATTTTGGGAACAACTTGAAAGAATGGCAAATAACGTGATATTTAGAAAGCCTGTATGCCAATATCGTTCCCTACATGTTGTCGACAAATATGCAGTTTTCTACAAGACTGCAAGAAGCACAATAGCGACAATGACAACATCTGACTGCAGCCACAAGACGGCAGTAATGTAAAGGATGGATGCGCATATTAAATGGAATGCGACAAGCTTTATGACAGGACTGTCTGAGTTGAAAGGAGAGAGGTCAATTTGCTTTGGTACATTTTCACTTATATCTGTTTTTAGATTTGACAAGGCAAGCAGTGCCTGCCTTGCTTGTCCTGATGGAACACCACTGGTAAAATTGTCTAAAATGAAAAGAGAATCCATGGTTCATCTTTGCTTTTCACTAGTGATTTACTGTATTTACAGCCTGTCTGTGGGCTTTGAGGTTCAGTGTGTTTGACATGTGATTGGCAGCCGACCTATCTACAAGTAATCTCTGAATAATGCTGCCACTGAATTCCCGAGTAAAAGCTTTACAGGTCGCAGACTCTCAAAATACATTCACAGTGTGAAATAGGACACTGTGGATATGGAAGGGAGACTTGAGAAGATAGCTATGAAGTGATTTCTGGTACAAGTAGCAATTTATGAATAGTACTCCATTTCTATATGAATTTTGATGATGATGATGATGATGATGTTTTAATATTAAGTGATGGCAAGGTTGGTTTTAGATTTTAGAGTTCATTACAGAGAGTAAATGCAGTAGTAACAATCAGTAATGTCTTTTTTTTTAACAGGAAGCAGTCAGACTGAGTAGAAAGTGTCCTTAAATTAAAGAAAGTTGCTCCAAGCACAGATTTCTTCCTCTTGCTTCATAGCAAAATTGTGGACTGAAACAACATCACTGTATTAAGATTGATCAGTATGATGCATGCTGTTGTTGCTGCTGAATTTAACTGCGTTTAAGCAGTAAATGATTACAAGTCAATACTTTGAAAAGCACAAGCTCTATTTAATGTTACATTTCAGTGTTATCCATTTTCCTCAGTGCCAGAAGTGTCTTTCTGTAACACAGCTGAAAACTTTCTTAAAACAATATTACTACAGATACACCTCTTAATTCTGAATGCTCTGCTACGCTCAGCTAAAGAATTTTAAACAACACAGTAATTTGTCTTTTCAGTTTATACAACCTCAAAACATCCAGGGGTCAGGGGATTAACATTTCTTTACAACATACTACATCTTTTTATGCTTTTTATAAAGATTATTTATCTAGAAGACTCTTGAGATGGACAATCTACATTGATTGTTGTATTGTTAGGTTTGCTGTACATTTGTAAATGTACATTTGTAAATGTACAGCAAAGACAGCACTGAAGTATTGATCACTGGTAGTGCAGGTGAGCTGTTAATACAAAAACCTATTAGCATCACAAACCATACTGTACACAAAATTGGACAGGGCACTAAACTACTTCTTAGTCATGCAAAGCTTTAAAGATAACAAGATGTTTAGTCTTCACAACAGATGCAACAAAACTTTGATGCCCAACTCAGAAAAAGTTGATATCCGACCTGAGTGCTTCCTCTCGCCTTAACATCAGCATAAAAACTGTGTGCCAGAAACTTCATCATGCATGTGCATTGTGTAATTATATTATATGGACCATACAGGGAAAAATTGAGATTACATACAGACTCCTAATACTGACAATTTGTTGCACCACTACAACTGCTACACATCAGGATATATTGTTACCACTTTTTTTGTTGCAAACCTTTTAACCTTATTATGGCTACATTATACAATGATGGTATTTGTTACTATTATCCAGTTATGGCAGTGGCGGCCCTTCCTCTCTTACCAATGGGAGGATAGTAGGTCAAAGCAGAATCCGCATAGAAAGAATAGTTGCTTAAATTAGCAGATATAATATGGTGACTTCTCGTGACTTTGCAAGTCGCCAGCATTTCAGCTTGGGAGATGGACCTGCGTTGGAGTGTGTAGGTTATATATTTTGTGTGTGCGTCACTGTGAGAAAAGGCCAGCAGTCTGTTTATTGCTGTTAAAGTCAGGGGGCTGAGTCACCAGAGCCCTGCTGTGTTTGCTCTCTTCTGTCTTTCTTTCTTTAGCCCTTTTCAAACATTGGATATGTAACATTGCTATCCCTGTAAATGTGTTAAATGTGACAGAATTCTGCCATTCAGACACTGGTTTGCCCGTGTTTCCCCTATCACCCCCGCTGCTGTTGTTTTGACCAGCACATTTTATATGTGTCTATAATTTACCAACTCACCCCTCTGCTCCTTTCCCAGTGGGGAAGAAAGACTGCATGAGGTAAATGATTCAAGAAGACTCATGCGTGTGTGTGTGTGTGTGTGTGTGTGTGTGTGTGTGTGTTTTAACGTGGATGTGTGACAGCCAAGAGATTACATTTCCTTTAGATTGGTTATAAAAAAGACCCTGAGGCTCTAATTCACACTCATACCTGTACAGTTTATTAAGGGAGACAGAATGTGTCAGCAACCGTCTGTTATTCAAGGTGGTAAAGTGAGGTACAGTAGCAACCTCTCCTGTGCTTTACCCTCTTGAATGAGTTTTAAAATGAGATTTGCCTTTTTTAATGACCTCTCACTTCATCTTGCTCAGAAAATGCCTCAAAGCTGAAAATCGTTAATGTCTGACATTTTCAAAGTGTAGCAAAGATGACACATCAGCAAGTGCTGTGTTTATAAAGCTGTGGTACTTAAGTTGCTGGTGTGCAGTAACAATATCATCGACCAAGCAGCTAATGTGAAAGAGAAGATATTGTATATGGATTTGTACAGACAGCTATTCATTAGATCTGTGTATCATTAAGCCCTAATTACTAAACACAGGCTTTATTTTGTTCTTCAATTATCTTTTACTTTTATTCGCTTTTGCTCAGAAGAACCTAAAAACTGTTAGGCCTTGTGCATTTTTGATTAGATGGATGACCACTACTTTATCCATCCATCTGGGAATCTATCCCAGGTATAACCTGATAACCTTTCAAACCTATCCTCTATTTACAAATTAACATCTTTTGGTAGGGGGATGAAGCCAGATTACTCAGAGAGGCACAGGACACAGAAACTCTTAGAAATTTGACCGGTGGATTTGAACCCTGACTTCCTTGCTATGAGGAAACTGTGCAGCCACCTACTTTGTTCAGTGCTTGAATATTTTGTGATCTAACGACTTGCTTCTTTATCATATATGTGCAATGAGAAGACCTGGAGACCACAATTACTGTAAAAGGCTTAAAATTTAGATAAGAGGGCCTTAAAGTGCGAACCAAAACTGCATATATAAGTATCTGCACTCAAACATTATTTTCTCTTGCAAACACAAAGCAATAGTTTTAAGTAAAATGAATCTGAAATCTATAAAATCAAAGCTTTATTTATTCAAATAACTACAAATTTAGGATAATTTGCTTGGTATAAATGGAATGCATACCAGTCATGTCAATTTCATTTGACCTGATGTTTTACGTTGCACTTCTGTAACAACACTGCACGGAAAATTTAATCAAATAACTTCAAGTCAGCCATCTGGTAATAAACGTTATGTGACATGCTGAATGCTGAATTGTTTTGTCAAATGTTGTTTCCCTTCTCAAGAACAAACTCTTAAACTCATGTTCAGCTGTTGCTTGTAGCATTTTCAGCAGATCTGTTACAGATTTTTAGAATCTGAACACAACAACTGATACTCTAGTCTATTTGTATGGGGTTTATTAATGCACCTCAGTCTGAATACTGCCTCACGTACATGTTATCAATTGTCTGGTCAGAGCTGTTTAGTTTCATGAGTCATCTGTAACATAGATGCAGTCACATGCCCCTTCTTTTATGTAATTCGTGAAGATCATCCAGCCATATGAAGAGGTATAAAAGTACGATTATCTTTACTAATTATCAATTACCTTCACCGCAGCTCACAAGGAGGTAAAAGTGAGAATGAAACCAGTTGTGTTCATGGTAGGTGTAACACTTTCCACAATAGTGGCATTAATACCATCCATCTTCTTCTGCTTACCCAATTTAGCATCAGCTGGAGACTATCCCAAAGAAGAGTGCAGCTTGGTCAGATTGCCAGTTTGTTGCATGCCTAACACAGAGAGAGACAACCATTTGCACTCACATTCACACCTATGGGCATTTCAGAATAACTAATTAACCTAACCCCACTAAGTGCATGTCTTTGGAGTATGACAGGTAGCCAGAATACCCACAAACAACATGCAAACGCCACACAGAAAGGCCCCAGGCTTTGTGCCGCTGTGGTGCCTTAACTGATACCCAGATCTTTTAAATGGCATAGAAAGGTGGACTGGGATAAGGTCTACATGCTCTCATTTTTACAGTACCAGGAAATGCTGAACTGAACAAATCATTCAGTACATAAATTCCTAAATCAGTGAGCGCTTATAAAAGCACAATGCTTTACAAAGCCTCACCGGAAATTAGGTTTTAAAATGTAATTTTCCTTACGGCAGCCTGCAGCTTTTTTTTAATTTTATCTGAGTTGCATGAATATGTTCAGGGAGAAGAAAGCAGTATGCTAGTGAGACAGCAAGAGAGCGATGTTCAAGGAAAAGAGAGAACATAAGAGAAAGACAGGTTAGAGAAAGTGGAAGGCGGGTTTGAAGTTTTAAAGTGATTCAGACAGCAGAGATGAGGAAGCAAAACGGAGCATGAGAGGGACAAGGTAACATGACAGAGCAAAAGCGTTAACACACGTCTTCGAGATGAGAGGGAAAGGAAAGAAAAGCACAGTCTAGGTAGAGAGGAAGCGAGAGAGCTAAATAGCAGCAGCGCATGACACAGAAAATTTTATCTGGGCACCTCCGGGGCATCTTAGGAGACAAATTTTATGTTAGAAATTAGGTGGAGTGAGCATATGGTGCTATGTAATATTGATGGTGCACAAGTGCCCATCTCAAGGCATGGAATGATAGCCCTGCAGTGATTTTTCACGGCATTTAAAACTCTTGTGCTGAGGCTTCTTTGTCTCTAGTTTAGGTCATTAAAGATTTAAAGACAGAAAAGCGAAGAAGCATTTATTATCCCAATGCAACAGAATGAGAAACTAAAGTAGGGTGGAAAGAGCTCACCGTGTGTGTGTGTGTGTGTGTGTTGCTGGTGGGAGGGTTGACAGAAATTGGCAGTGAAAGGGGAACAAAAGGAAGAATGATGGATGGGAAGATCAAATGACAACATGAAGGCAACGGCGGAGAGCAGAAATGAATCAAAGAGAAATGCATGAAGAGACAGCAGAGGGGAGGGAAGTGGAGGGTTGTTAAGCTGCTGCACTAACACACCCTTCGTGGGTCACAGGGTCAAGCTTCTGGAGTTCATGCATGTGTGTGTTTGAGTGTGTGTAAAGTAATGTTTGCTCCAGAACACACAAATGAAGCGTTTCTTTGTTAGAGCTGACTGTCTTAGATTTGCAGCTGATGCACGAAGGGAGTGCTTGATTTGTCATTGTGTGTTAGGCCAACACTTGTTCACTTGTCTCAGAAAAGTAAATGCAGTCCTGTACTGCCAGAAATCTGAGTGGCAAACCCTCTCTTCTTTGACATCAAAGCATTTCAGAGGCACTCGTTGAACATGCATCAATTCTGCTGCCTGTTCTTCCATCATCACCCTTCTGGGATTTACCGAGCATTAACTCAGTAGTTCTTACTCAGTAAGAAACCACTGATCTAGGAATCAGATAAACCTGACAAAAATCTTAAACACAACAATTAAGAGCTAAGAAGTTGATGGTATATCAAACATACCTTTCTGTGTAGTTGCAGAGGCGGGCAGCATCGTGGTGAGGGGCCCTCTGTGTCTCCCTCAGTCTTCCTAACTAGACTGTCCTTCTTCAGTTTGTGAACATAAGAAATTCTCCTTTTAATGCTTTTGCCCAGCTCCTCTGCTTCTTCTGCAGACACCTGTTTCATTTTACTCTGTTCACCCCACTTTTGATTAGATTTAGTTGGACGTCTCAAAGCCAAGGGTACTGAGGCACCCTGCCAACCTCTCTCCAGGTAAAGATGAATGCACACACACACAGCAGTGAACAGGATGCCCAAACGCAGCAGCAGTCCCAGAGTGAGTCGCTCTCTGCCCATATCCATCCACTGTTTTGTCCTCCCTGTCTCTCTGACTCACCCAAATCCAGTGTCTCAACTCAAGGTGTCAGTTTGATTGCTTTTTCTATCCCATTTTGGAAGTTCTCTTCTCTTCTCTTCCCCTTTGTCTCAAGGTTAAAATCCACCTTTACACCAACAGCGGTAAGTTAATGAAATGCAAACATTTCCACTGTTGCTCATAAACCAGCACACACGCACACATATTTGTGCTTCCTGCAAGGCTGTGAGGCTGTGTAAGTGCTGAGGCTTTGGAAGCTGAGAGTGAAGTGCAGAATATGCCACCCTCTTTGAAAACTTTGGAAACTCCCTCCTCACACTTGTAAGTCTCTTTCTTTCTCTCTCTTTTTTTTTTTACCCAAACACACGCCCCTTTAATTTGCTTTCTTTTTCTTTCTGAGGTTCACATCACACTCACACACACACAGACACACACACCACTCTGTTGTTCTTCCCCCTCCTTGGTGCTGCTTCATCCCGCCCAGCAGAATCTCATGTTACGGTGTAGCTCCAGTTATGGGCTGTGTCTCCAGCTCCATAACGGGTCCATGCAAGATTTCCTCTCAGCATCTGTTGGGCTCTCTCTGGACACAATGGCGACATTCATACACGAATGAAAGTTTAAGTATTTGTGAAAAGTCATTTGAGGTGCTCCAATGCAAACATTTTGTTAGAGTGATAAGTTTCTAAGAACTTTTTGTTTTTACTCATTTATTTGAAGTCATTACTCTTGAATTTTGTCTGTGTGCATATGTTCTAAAAAAATACTATATTAATTCCTATATTTTTCTCTGTTATTGTACAAATTTAAGAAAATGTGTGGGTATTTTCACATAAATTCCATACTTCTCTCGATTCCTGATTTAATGAGGGCATATTTGAAATTTTGGACAAGAAGAGAACATTTATCTGGTGTTTTCAAGCTTCCTTTTTTGTCTTTTTTAGGGGTGGGGGAGGATTAGACCTTACAACAAAACTTGAGAATTAGAATTTGCTTGACGTGGCACTGCTAAATGTAAGAAGAGGCAGATAATAAGAGAGCTGATCTCCCACCTACTGTTTGGAATCAGTTACAGCCTTTTTGAGCCTACAAATAATTCTCTGCTGCCCCCCCTTTGAAGTACAAACAACACTCCTCTAAATACCAGCTTCGGCACACAAGCCAATTACAGTGAATCAAATAAATTAGATCGGGAGAACCAGAGAGATTAAAGGATGTCGGGTACAGTAAGACGATCTCTGCTGCCACCTAGTGGTTAATTCTAAACAGCTGCATATGGAACTGATTACTGTTTCTTCTGTGTGATTACACATAAAAGCGTCCAGCTTTTACCTCAAAAGAAGTTGGGAAAACTCTAAATTTTAGACACGTGTTTTGTATCAAACATGTAGCAAAACAATGTTTCTTTTGTGAGATGCAGGAGACTTCTCTCTCTCCCTCTCTCTCTCTCTCTCTGCAGACAGCATTATTCATATTGGAATGATTTGTCCAGATCTGGTCAAAATCAGCTGCCACGTGCAATGCGTTTGTTTCTGGCTGCCCCCTCCCCCCCTTTTTTCATATCCTCCAACAAAACAGGGTCCAGAGAGACAGAGAGAGGTCGTTTAAGCTCTATCTACTCACATCTACTTTAAAAACAGTGTCTCAATATGGGGCCTGATATCACAGACCGATAGACCACCTGCTAATGAAGCAAAGGCAAAAATGCCTGCTGGATAAATTTGATAGCGGCAAGGCTTATAACCACACAGTAAGCTCTAAGAGGGCGAGAGTAAACCCAAAAGGGCTCATTTTGCTAATTATAGGTTACAAAAAAAATATCTAGAAATGAAAATCTCTTTTCATGGTTAGATAAGATAAACTGTCTAAGTTGCTTGCAAGTGGAATTTACTCCATGGTATTTTGTAAACAGCAGCTGGTCTGATATCTGCAGTGGCAAATACAGGTTTCCTAACACAAAAAGCAGGAAAACTGGAACAAGCTGGACTAATACAGGTCAATCTGCACCATAAGATCAATGTGCTTCTTGTATTTTGGGAAACACACCGATGTCTGGATGAACTGCTGAAGTTTTGCACAGTGGGAAGTGGCCAGTTGTATCAGGAAGAGGTGAAGGTTACCGTGTGTTTACTTTCAACTGGGGTCCAAAATGACACACACACACACACACACACACACACACACACACACACACACACACACACACACAC